CCCTCAGGCAGGGAGTGAATTTCAAGCAAAGACTCAACCATGAAGACCAAGGACTGTTCAAAGGACATAAGGAAGAAAAAAAGTGCAGATCGGGAGAAGGACAGAAAAATAGGAAAGTCTCTGAATATTTCTGTGCGCACAGTCCACCCAACCATCAAGAAATGGAATGTGCATCATACCACCCAGGCCCTGTCAAAATCAGACTATTCCTCCACACTGAGCAGCTGGGCAAGGAGCAAACTGGTGAGGGAGGCCACTGTGGGGCCAACGACAGCTACAGAGTTCAATGGCAGATAAGGGAGAAAATCAGTCAACAATATGCAAAACACAAAATTAGCCTGTCAGGGGGAGGAGAACGAAAGCACTAGAAATGTGCCATCTCGATGCTGCATGGAGTTTGCAACAAAGCACCTGAGTGGATCCACAAAAACATGGCAGAAGGTGTTGTAGTCCGATAAGACCAAATTGGATTAGCCTTCATGTGCGTTTAAAGCGTGACGTTTGGCACAAGCCCAGCACAGCACATCTCCCTGCCGTGCGTGGCGGTCGCTGTATCATACCATGGGGATGCATCACTTAAACAAGGGCCGGAGAGCTTGTTAGGACTGAAGGAAAAATGAATGGAGCACAGCACAGGCAAATACATGAGGAAAACCGGTGTCAGTCAGTGATTTTTTAAGAAAGGCTACACTGGCGAGGCTTGAAGATATGTAATCAAAAGTGCTCAAGTGGCCCACTCGAAGTTCTGACTTGAATCCTATTGAGAATCTGTGGACTTGAAAACTTGAAAACTCCTGTCCAGCTATCCGCAAGCCACCTGAGAGAGCTGGAGCAAAACCTGCACCAAGCCAGTGTGTAAAATTAGCAGAAACATACTCAAAAAGAGTGCTGCTTAAGTGAATACACATTTCAGGTTTTTCTATTTCTAATTTTTACAGTAAATGTTATTTACTGTGACTTGTTTTAACATACTTACAAGTCTTCAGACAGAGTATTCATGTTTTGAATAAAATAGTGTGTATGAATCATAGGACACAATGGGACAATGGGACAACTTAGGGTCTGAATACTTTTGTAAGCCTTGTATGCACAGTACATTATCTTGGACCATGGCTTTTGATTTGACATCCTTTTATGAGAGACCTTCTCAAACATTTTCTGGAACTAAATCATGTCATATGTTTTAGTTTTCTCTAATGTCCATGTTGCATGTTTTAAGGATTCATGCAAATTAGACATGACCTTCTCTTTCTTTCTAAACCCACGTTGACAGTCTCTTAAAATAGCCTTGTTTTCTAAGCATTCTTTTATTTTAGCTCCAACTGCCATTTCCATAAACCAGCAAAACTGATTGAACTGTAGTTTCCCGGTTCAGGGTCTTACTTTTTCAGGATTAGCATCATGCTTGTGATTTTCCAAACTGTGGGTTCTGTGCCCATTACAGATGAGAGCAGAAATATGTTGGACAGGGGTCTATAACTAACATTTCTCATTTCCTTGAATACAATTGGGAAAATACCATCAGGCCCAGAGCCACTCACCATGGAAATGCAATCAGACCGGAAGCTTGATTCACCTGTGCGCTATTACTATCTTGCCCGTCTCAGGTGAATCAGGCTACTTAAGGGCTGTTTGCTATAACTGTGCTCTGGGCTCTGGAATAGACATTAGACTCTAAGCCCCTCCAGTCCCGAATATCCTGTGTTCCCTAGCTTGTGCTTCGTTTGGACCTGTGACCTTGACTTATCACCCACATGCTTCATACTTCCTCTGTGGTAACTCCGCCTGGACCCAGCTTGTTTATTTACGACTATGCCTTTGGATTCCCCTTGTGATTCGACGCAGCGTCGTGCCACAACTGAACTCCTGCGTCACCCTGACCACAGTCCCTCGGATTCTCCCTCGTGCTTGTGCACTGTGTCAACATGATTACGAACTTGGCACGGCCCCTGCTGTCAACCCTGAACTGCGTTTGCCTGTTTCGCAGGCCTGCCTGCACTGTGCTGGTCTGCGTGCTGCTTTCACGACGCTTGCCTGCTACAGACACGGTGCTGCTGGCTCACGCTACCGGGTACCTACCTGTGTTTGCCCACTGCACTTGGGTCCCCCTTACAATACACAGGCTGCTTCACAATTCCATCTCAAGCAGCTCTACATAACAGTATTGACTGGAAAAGTGCTCCCACGTCTACTGCTCTTTTACCACTGTGATGCTAGTAAAAGTGCTCTCTCTTGGCAATTTAAATATATTTTCTTAGCTGCACCTGTACACCTGTAGCTCTTTATACTCTTAATCATGAACCCTTTTATGCAGTCTGTGTAGTGCTTACTTCCATCTGATTCTTTTTTCTTGATATTTCCATTAAACCATTAGGCCACACTTCCCCGGACTTCACTGTTTTACAAATGAATTCCAAATCACGGTTTTCAAGTGTACCCGTCCTTCTTGATTTGACTCAGTATCCATCTGTTCCCAGTTCACATCGCGTAACCTCTGCCTCATTCCTTCCATCTGTTTTTCTAAAATTATAAACCCTCATTTTGGACTCACATTTTCGGAGATTTAAAGTACCCATCAAAAGATTTCATATTACTGTCACAATAATTCAGTGGTTCTCTCATGTCCATTACCATAATTATATCCTAGCTGTTTCAAAAGATTACGGCAATAAGAGCACCATGCCTAGCTTAACTGTGTTAAGAAGCAATTTCTCAATTTCCATCTCCACTTCAGATCCTGTAGTCGCCATCACAATATCCCAATATATGAATGGCAAGTCGAAATCTGCTGATAATATACCGCCTCCTATGCTACATACCTTCCTGATCTCGCCAAACAGTAAGTTGCTTGTACCCACATCTGTGGTAGGTGCTCTGTAGCACACAGCATGGCACCTATTGATAAGCCCTTTGAAGTTCTATTTGTATCCATATAGGTCTTAAAGAGCCTGTACTCTTGTGTTGCAATTCTCTAGATTGCAGACAATTCTTACATAGAGCCACACACCTTAACCTCTTCTGTTCATGCTGTCTTTCTGAAGAAGTGTGTACTCACTTATTTATATTAGTCCCCTCATCCTTACCTAACCATGTTTCATTAAATCTTACAATGACTAGCAAAAGTATTCACCCCCTGGGATTTTTTCATATTTTACTGTGTTACAATATAGAATTATTTATTAGAATTTATTTGGGATTATTCGCTACTGATCAACACAAAACATTTCAAAGTAATTTATGGGATATGGTTATTAAAAAGCACCAATCAGGGCATAAGCAAATGTCCAAGGCATTACATATCCCCCCAGGCACAGCAAAGTTCATATAGAAAACTGTGAAGAACAGGGTGTCTTCAAAAACTGAGTATCCAGGTGAGAAGAGCACTAATCAGGGAGGCCACCAAGAGGCCTGTGACAACTCTTAAAAAGAACTACAAAAAAGTCTTCCATGGCTGAGATAGGAGAAACTGTGCATATGGCAACTGTCTTGGTGCTTCACAAAAGTGGACTTCATGGGAGAGTGACAAAAAACTCACATAAAATCTCAACTATACTGTGCCCGAAGGAATGTGGGAGACTCTGAGACCAAGTTAAAGAAGAGTACACAGTCTGACAAGACCAAAATTGACCTTTTTGGCCTTAACAGTAAGCGCTGTGTTTTGAACAAATGAAACAGTGAACGTCATCCCGAGAACACCATCTCTACTGTGAAGCATGGTGTTGGCAGTATCATGCTGTGGGGAAGCGTCGCTGTACATGGAAGACTAGTGAAGATGGAAGAAAAAAAGGATGCAGCAAAGTACAGAGAATTCCCGGAGGAAAATCTGCTGCAGTCGGCAAAACACATGGGACTTGGAAGACTCATATTCCTGTAGGACAATGACCCAAAACATACAGCCAAAGCCCCACGGGAGTGGTTCATAGAGGAAAAAGTCAATGTCCTGGAGAGCCCCAGTCAAAGCCAGGACCTCTACCCAATCAGGACAAAATCACCATTGACAACCTTTCCCATCCAACTTCAGGGACTGAAGAATGAGCAAAAACTGCAGTGTCCAAATGTGCACATCTTGTAGAAGCTTATCCAAGAAGGCTGTAATTTCTGCCCAACATGTCGCTACCAACTACTGGCTCGAAGGGGGTGAATAGTTATGCCATCAGTTATTTTCCATTTTATATTTCTAATTCCTTTAGGAGGATCTGTGGAATTTTCACTTTGACACTTTACAGGGGGTCTTCTATCAATCAATGGCAAAGACTCCCAGTTAAAGACATTACGATTACATGCTGAAACAAAATAAAGTGTAAACAAATGCGGGGGGTGAATATTTTGGAAGGCCACTGTATAAATTCTCCTTTTCTTTCTAGTGCAGTAGCTTCGCGTTCTTACGTTTTATTACTTGTGGCCAATAGCTACCCTTCCATGCAGAAAAACAGAAAAGCGTACCAGATTAACCAATGATCAACAAACAACAAGCTACACTCCTTTCCCCAGGTACCTTGGAGTAATCTGATCTCAAAATGAAAGCCACCACCAACTGCAGTAGAAGATCACCCTCTAAATTGTGCCACTGTGTCATAAATTGCTGTCACTCTACAGCTCGGTGGGACTGTCCTGTTGACCAGCGTCAGTCCCTGCCATTTGCCAAGAGAGCTCTTATGAGCTATTTTCTCTAATGTCTGGCTTTCAAAATGTTTTGCCTCATTTTTAAATGCTATTTCAAACTGTCACTATGCATGAACAGCACTGTTCTGAGGCTGCGTGACTGACTTCACAATCTGCTACAGGCTGTTATGAATTCAACGGAATATTACCTATTCAGCATAAGTTTATGTTATGTCGGGGTTTTTTTTAAAAAGCATTGACATTTCAAGTTTTTCTTTTCATCATTGATGCTATTACCATGTACCTTTAAGTTTCTCTTTCTTTTGCCATGAACTAATATCACAAAATAAAAGACACCCAAAAAACAATGAGGAAAAGCTGAAGATCGTCATACTCACATTAAATTTGACAATGTCATATATCAGGTATCTTGGAACTGGCTGTCCATTAACCTTGTCAATGATCATCTCCTACGGAGAAAATACAAAGCAAAAGACATTAGAAATCATTTTCAGTTCATAACAGTTCTGTCACCTTGAAACATCTCAGTAGGCAACCAGGCCTACAACCAATCCGAACCAAGCGCATAGAAGTATGTATGGAAAACAGAACAAAAATAACCTTCCATGTATAATTTACAAATGTAAAAAAAGCAGGAGCATTTGATCCATGCTTCAAACGAAAGGTCCATATTACTGAGCTCTGTAGTCATTTTATAAAAGAGAGAAAAGGAAAAAATAGCACTAACACAAACATCTTCTGCTTATTGCTGAAAGGCAAAAGGTAACCGCTGGCAATATCCAGTATATTTTTTCTTGTGAGAATGCTGCCGCTCTGTAAAACAGCCCTTTCTGGACAGTGCAGAGCTACTGTCATTTGATGTGGTACATGATTTTTGTTGGGATGGCATCTGAAACTGCTCTGTGGTGGGAATTTCACTCATAAAAACCTCAACTGGTGTTTAACAGAAGGAACAAACAGGTACATAAGCAAATAAAAAAAATCATTCCGAGCAGTGGGCTCTGCTAAGCTCTTCCATCAATTATAAGAGGGAGAGCAAAATAAAAAATAGCCAGAGCTTGTATAATTCTGCTACAGGATCAAACATTTCCAAGTTCAGTTAATCGATACGCATCTTTTTCACAAAAGGCCTGGCTGTTTCAATTCATAGCCGGGGCTTGAAAGATCACAATCAATGCTCCAGTAAGGATTGAAGCTCCAGGACAGCACAGCACAACCTGGCACGTAGGTGCAGGCCGATTCAAAAGCACTGAAGACCTAGAGCAGTGGGAGGGGACAGCACTGGAAAATTCCCAGGGAGATTCACCTTCTCAGCAAACGCTCAGATTTTATTGCCTGCAGATCAAAGAACTCTTCAACCCATAGAAGGTGAAATGGAAAGTGACATGTTGCATTGGAAACATTAAACTGACAATAAGGGACACCTTAATACAATTTAATTTATTTTATGTGTTTTTAATTGCTTGATTTCATTGCTAGGTGATATCTGTAACCGTCCTTGTGTGTAAAACTCATAACGTAATTTAATATCATCAAAGATAGTTTTAGCTGCCATATAGGAACTGATTTAGATCTTGGTTTTGGGCTGTTCTGGCTATAGCCATGGGCTCTGCAAGCCAGTCTGCCACGTTGAGGGCAGTAGGCAGGTTCAAACGGGAGGAAGGACGGTGACTGGGTCCGGCCCGTTCATGCCCACCACGACAGAACGCACAGCTGCCTCCTGGAGCAAACACCTCTGTGAAGAGCTTTTCCTGAAAGTTTAAATTGTTCGACCTCATCAAAGAATAATCTCGAGAACATTTTTACTATCAAACTTGCATACATGTACTCGCGCTCTCCCACCAAAATACTGATGGCCAGTCCGTGGCAGAGGCAATAACACCTAAATTACAGCATATCTACATGAGATGCTGGCAGCAGTTCTGCAGCTGTTTGCAGGCAGAACTCATCACCTCTTCTGGTGCTTTTCAACCTACCAACTAATGCCTTAAGACTGTCTGAACTCATGTGGTAGACAGGTCTGCCTAGGTCTATGTACAAGGGACCAATAAACATGCCTCAATTCCACCTTGTCTCCATAACACATCACACAGAGGAACCCAGGAACAATTTTGCAGAATTTCCTACCAAAAAAGTAGAAAATAAAAAGAAAAAAGGTTCAGCTGTGGAGCCTCCTTCAGGTGTGAGGCAGAGAGAGGAAGGGAGCAGGAATATAAAGCAAAGGAGAAAGGACACAGCTGCAGAGAGTGGGCACGGAGCAGGTGAGAAAGTGTCCAAATGAAAGGAGATCTGGGGGAAGGTGTGAAAGTCTGAAATCTGGAAATAATTAGATCTTTTTTAAATGTGTTATATCCCCACTACCTTTATTTCCCCCCCACGTGAACTAACCTTTATTTATTGCTTTGCAGCCGATACACGTCGGCGCACCTACCTACTTAAACACTTGAGGACCAGGTCTGCTACTACTTTACAACGCGTACAGAGAAACAAGTTTGGCCTTTCAAAGTACTTCAGACAGGATGAGTAACTCCTGCAGAACTAGCTCAGATTGTACACAAACAGGTCTGAAGCTACATACTAAATGACTATCAGTACTGTTGGTTTCTTGCTCTTTCTGAGCAAACAACTATGTCTCCAGGAAAACGACACAATCTGACACACCAGCAGAAGTGTGAGCACAGGATTCTTAGTTTAAATCTTATTAGTAACCTCAGTAAACCACTTTAACAGAATGTCAGCATAAGATGCAAGGTGCTGATGGCAACCTCCTAGAGAGACTATATTCTCCTGCAGAACAATAAGTATATGAAATAATGGAGCAATTTAGAAGCATTCCATTGCCCATTTTTATTTCATTTTTTTTGTTCCACATGTTCGGGAAAGCTTTTTTTTCTAACTGGTAAAATAATAAGAGCCTCCCCCTCGAGCAGGACTCGTTTTAAAGCAGAAACGTTCCACGGCACTCTTACTTCTCTGGGTCTTTCACAGCATCGGGCAGTCGTAGAACAAGACTGCAACAGCTTATACTACACTTGAACCAGCGATAGAAGGCGCGAGAGTGTGCTGGAGTGACAATTAAAGGTGTGATGTTTAGAAACGTTTTCGGTGCAGACGGCCTGCAAAGTTGAAAGTCAATACGACTGACAAACCGTGGGGTTTCTCGCGATTAAAATGTAATTTTTAGTTTATCCACTCATCAGCAGAAAGCCAGCCTATCGCTCCATCGGAGGGTACACAGACACAAGAACAACTGAGAGACCCTTATCTCAATTACCTTGTCTTTGGGAAGTTTGGCAAAATCCTACATAAAGAAGGAAAGGAAAGGCAAACTCCACTCAGACAGCACCCCTGCCTGAATAGAAACAAAGACCCAGGAGCACTGTCTATCACACTGCCTGCGATAGGTTTACATTTCCCAGAAGTTAAAGACTTGAGAGGAGAGTTTATCCTAATAACCTAAGCAGTTTAGCAGCCTTGTAGCAAGTCATACAAGGAACTCAAGCAACATTTTCTAACCAGGGCTGTAGATTACAATGTAATACATTTCTGGCTAAATAGCGTTTTAAGTTGTTGAGTTTCAAAACTTTTAAGACTGTCAAAGTTCTACATTAAGAAAAACAAAAATCTTAAAAAAACCTAAAAAGTACTGTTTGTGTTAACTGTCATGGCATTTTCTGTATGTTTTCTGTGTGTAATTCTATAACACATGTTGTAATGAGGTCTTACAATCACCTCAGAGAAAGTTACCCTTCCACCAGTTTATGGGAGTCCAGCAATGTCAACCACACAGAAAAACACAATGCAAAAATACAGAGAACATTAACAGAGATGCGTTCCTTTCTTACCACCTTGTCATAATATAGTCCAAAAAACGAATACAAAGGAATTGAAAACCGATGTAACAAACCACCAAGCAACTGGGCCTGAACTACCTTACATGTTCTCCTGCCTTAAAAGGGGTCATCTCGGGAAAGTTACCTTCCACAAATGATGAAAATGGCATACTTTTTCAGTTTTCCTCTTCACTAAGCCCGGGGTTAAAAATAGAAATGGTATACCAAGAATATAAATCCCCAAAAAAGCTCAGAAGACAGTCACTTACCCCATCCAGCAACGTGTTTGAAAGATGAATGCGAGGATCCTTACGAAAAGGAAACTCCAGATTCGCTATATGAAACACGGAGTTGTCCCTATCAATCATGTACACCTCGTTTCTCCCATCAATCAGCATCATGTACCTGCAGGAGAGAAGAAAAAAAGCCCAAAGTCCAATGTTTAATATAGCAAAAGTCATGGTTTACCAATTAACCCCACAGTATCAACCTCCCTACTTTTCTAGTACAGCTACAAATGGAATATTTTCTAGATAGTGACGTCTGAACCTGCGTTATCTCCAACAGCATGTGATGAAACACCTAAAAGAGGCATTTTGAAGTTCGCAATGCTACTTCGGATCGACATGGAAGTTATCAAAAATTCTCTTTTGCAATTTGAAACTTTTTCAATTTGTGAGGACGAGATAAGAGACAGGGAAAACTTTTAGCTTTTTTCCTCCTTGCACAGCTTTCTATGAGAATTCAGATTAGCATGCATAATGGGCCTCAGATTCACAAAAGAATAATATCTTACTTCAGTGGGGGGAAAAAAGAACATTGGAATTGTGTATTTCTGACATAACTTCACTGCTGTCATAAAAAATTACACTTATGCAAAGAAAACGTCAGTATAAAATGCGTTCTGTCATGGAGCTACCAAGTTCACTACCTCTAACATTATACTGTTTATTCACCCTTCGAAAACAGTCCCTATACTGTGAGAAGAGATTAGTTTAGAGATTAACTCTCCTCTCTCAGAAGAGAGATTAGCTCTCCTCTCACAGTCTGTTCCCATTACCTTCCAAGGATCTGAAGAAATGAAGCATTGAACACAACGCACAATGCAGTGCCCTCCAGATTTCTTCATCCCCTTGATGGAGCAGCAGGAGCAAGAAACATCACACAGCAGAATGAGTTACGAGCTGGATAATGCGTCTCACTTAAAACAGTTCTACTAATGTTATGATGCAATAATAATTCCACTGTGCAAAGCCATGTGTCATCAATATTTAAATAAATTCTAGAAAGCAACGGGGTGACATTTATTCACACCTCGAAACGTTCCTTTAAATAAAATTCAACAAAAAACTACAGCAACATTTTTTTTTTCTTTTGTTAAGTACAGTGGATGCCTCTGGCACTGTACAGAGGCTTCTGCAGGTTTCTGGCTGCCTTATATATATAAGGAAGTAAATGGAAAACATTCTACACTGTCACGCCTCATCGTGATTAAGGTCAGAGAGCTCTTCACAGACTGAAGGCAGTCGCTGACCTGAACAAGCTGGGGGGTGGCGAGACAAGAAGCCACAAAAATGAATCTACCACATCCCCTGAAGTGTCCATTATTAAGGCATTTAAGGATACTGGTATAGGGGCCATCCTGCTAAGAAGTGGACACGAGTGTATTTTGCCACCACAGGCTGTAAAACAAGTGGTGTATTGAAGTCAACTGTAAGTCCAAAGGCAGCTGAATCTCTCCAATACACAATGGCACTTTCAGGATACAAAACGTCAAACCTACCACTCTTAAGTCATCTGAATGAAGGAAGATGTCTCTTCTGGGGCCGAATCGCACTCAGAACTTGCCTAACAATCTGACTTAAACTAAAACAATGTCTTATGGTCGCGGGAAATGAAAAGCTGTTTTTCTTTATATGTCCCTCAGCGTTTTATTTGGTGTAAAAAAAAAGGTGAAGCTCATATTAAGAAAATATGCACGCTCGGTGTTATGTTTTCGGGTTGTTTCGTGGCTACCGGTCTCAGCCCAGGTTAAAGGGAAATCATGAACTCCAACTCATACCCAAACATTATCTATCAGAAAGTTCAAGCTTTGTTGAAAATGGACATTTCAGCATGTTAGTAACCCAAGAAGTACACCCAAATCGTCAGAGGAATTGTTTGACATTTTAACTGCGCGCGAAATGTGCTCAACTGGCCATCTCCGGACCTGCATTCAATTAAAATTAGAATTTGGGGTTCTAATTGAAGATATCTCTCCGCTTCAGGTCAGAAGGGCAATTCTACATAGAGGAATGTTCAGGTTTCCCTTTGAGGGACCAGAAACCCTTAGCACATGACAGGAGATATCTAGGCCATATCAATCCTGGCACAGGAGGATTTACAAAATCCTAAGTACAGGGAAGTGAACAAATGTGACTCTCGTAATTATTACTTTACTGTCAAGAAAACTTCTAAATACTGCATGACCGTGCACTGTGTGGTGAAATCTTTCTGTTATTTTGAGTTCGCTATTCCTATATCATCAATGGCAGCAAATGGAATACATTTAGAAGGGACTTTGAAGGCAATTCCAAAGTTAAATTGCAAGAGACTTACTGTAAGATTCCTTTCTAAAGGAGACTACACTGATTAACCCACACTGGCTGTCTAACAGAGAAGAGAAGAACGGTACACAGCATGACAGTGAAAATGTCTATCTTAATCATTTCAGAACCTTAAACCCCATCACAGCACACTGAAAAACCTACAGTATACTGTATGTCTTCATCAAGTATATGACAACTGTGAAAATGTTTCAAGGAGATCTTAGCCTCTTGAAAGCTTAATGTCGTAAACAACTGTTAAGACTATTACAGAATTTGAGCTATATTTTTATTTTTTTTACCAAAGCAACGTTATTACTGTCAATTGAAAAGGTTTGGCTCGGTAAACATATTACTTTAAGAGCAAAAAGAATTAAATGCTATCTAAAGTAACAATGATAAAACCTGATCTACAGAGCTCAGCAGTAATGAACATGTCATTCAGTGCGTTTCAAAGTTCTATTCACAGGGCCACAGAATCCAGCCCACAACTGAAGATTTTTGTGAGGAGCTCAGTCTGAACGGACTGCCTCGCACCCTCAGAGGAAGTAGGATTAAGGGGACTTTCTTCAGTGTGAGCAGCTGGCTATTGGTTCTACTGGTCAGTTCAAAGTGTCCCAGGTGAGGTGCTTACACAGTTCTCTGTGAGAGCTGTCTTGCATTTTTTTTTTTTGCAAGAATGTTTTATTTTCTTCTCTGATTGTAACTGATTAGGGTTAAGGGAATACTGTTTTGCATACATGTGAATTATTTTTCTTATTAGGGGAAACGTATTGGGAGTGGGCGATGGTCCTCCATTAAAGAACACAATTAAGGACTTCTCCTCTGTCTTTCCACTGTTACCTAGCAGATGGTATTTATTCTTTATAAATTGAAGACATTACTTCTTCTCCCAGACTTGGATTCATATACACATGACTAATGCTTCTATTCTGCCCTGGAATGTATGCAGGCTGAAATCTTTCACCAAATGTGCTCTTTAGATATTCTGCAAAGGAGACATACAGACATGCATTGTATCGCCACAATACGAGACTCACATACAACACAGCAAGAAGCCTGCAGATTTGCTAGAAATACTTTGTGGCAGCCTCCTCTTCTGCATGGAACAAGACAAACAGGGCTTAATTGTATAGCAAAGCAATTTTCAATTTCTATATGGGGGTCAGAGGTGATAAACCAAGGAGAGTAGTACATTTGAAAACTAATATTTCAGGCAGATTACAATTGGTTTTGGTTCAATTTATGCTCCTACAACATTCAAACCATGTTTTTTTTTTTAACCTCCTGTCAAAATCCCTGTTGAAACTTGCTGAAAAGGTTATAAGAAAGGAATTAAATTCACCGGTAAGACATCATGCAAAATTTCTTATATTAAGACCTAGACAAAATGACTATTCTCAATGCAGTCAATCCAGTCATGTACTAGCTTTGAGATACTTCAGTAATGAATATTTTGCAAGTATTCCTGCCATTAGATTGCCACAGAGGGAATTAGTCAGATCCCATGCAGACAAATTGAGTATTTTACCTGTTTTACTCAAAATGATATATTCTTTTAATTGCATCAGGGTAGTTTAAAAGATTAAGAGAGTTTATAAGATTTATTCATTCTCTTCCCATTGCCTTGTCTTTCTAGTACAGAAGCAGCTGTGCCTGTCTGAGCTGAAGCTAATAAAGACAGGCCTGGACATGACAATGGACGCTGTTGGCACCCCTCTGGATTTTTACTGTACTTTTTGGCTCCTATTACTCCACTTTTGCTTCATACTATAAATACTGCCATTAAAGAAGGTTCTTTCCAGAAGGGTGTTAATATTGCATTATATCCCTCTTAGTAAAAGATGATCAAATATTTTTACCATCTTTTATGATACCAATTGTACAAGAAACAAGGGAAGTATTTGTAGACCAATAAGTCTAACCTCTTTTACATGCAGGATTACAGGGTTGTACACTACAGTACAGGGTTGTCAGTGTGGTAGCAAGAGGCTTTAAGATGGATTTAGAAAAGGCACATCTTGCTTAACGACCTTGTTAGAGTTCTGTGAACTAGGAACAGTTGTAAAGGATACAAACAGAGCATACTGTATTGTATATTTAGAATCTCTAGGCTTTTGATCAAGTTCCTCATAAAAAATTAAACTGCTGGTAGCAGGTCATCCAAGGCAATGCACATACAGTCAGTTCTTCTATATGCGTGCTCTTACAGTGGAAATTGGATGCAACGATGGATTTATCACTACCACTATATTTCTACAATGAAGCTGCAAGTTGGGTATAAGCGGATCAAGCACACGGAAGACAGTCACGATGGAATGTGTCTCCATGTGCAGCGTGGTAAGTCAATGGAAAATTAAGTTTCAGAAACATTTCCGTAGGGTACAAACGCTTTGAGGTAAAGTGAACCTCTCCCTATTACTACATTTCCCTATTGCTTTGGCGACGAAGGCTGAAGCACACTGCAGTGTTACCTGTCCTTTGTTTTCTTACATTTTCTTGCTTGTATTCAATTAACCAATATTACAGCGTCAAAACACTCTTTCCATAACAAAAGACATAAGAACATTGATATTCATACTGGGTGTTTTCTGCACATCTCCCCCTTATTCAAATATCCTCCCAGCTTGCCTGAAAACAGACCAAATGCTTAAAATATTAGGGAATACTTTTAAACCTGGAGATGTCTCAGGAGCACCAAATTTTACCCGCCAGCGTATTTCACCAATGATGCACTAGAATAACCAAACAGATCACTCCGATTAAAGACAAAGTCCACATCGTCCTGCAGGGAAAGGTCAGAATGCCCACTGCAGAGTT